CTCTGACGTCTGCTGACGACAGCTTAACGTCAGCGTCTGAAAGCGGACAGAGCGACGTTTGACACGTGGATCAAACCGCACGGTTTAAGACGAGCCGCTGATTTTAAGCTGAGCTCCACGTCCACGGCTGCTGCTCCACTGATGACCGTTCAAACCGCGCCTGCTGCTGATTGGCTGATGAGACGTGAGGTCACAGCCAGGAATATATTCAGAGTCAGGAAGCAGATTTTGTTTCACTGACGTCGTCTTCGGCTCGTTGGTGACGTGAGTTTAGACTCGGGTTACGTCACAGCTGATGACGAGCGCGTCTGTGCTCGCTCTGCTCAGGTGAGCCACACAGACAGGTGTCAGGCTCCTCCCCCTCTTACCCCCCGTTTTATGGGAGAAACGTTTCATCATCATCCGAGTGACTTCTTCAGTCTCAGCTGACTGCAGGTTTCTCCAATCTTATAAACAGTACATTTGCATAATGACTGAGTAACAATGGGCTGTGATCAGTTTCATGATCATAAATTTGTCATGATGATTGACCAATGACATGAGTACCATGTGGAGAGTTGGGGAACGGCCTCACAGCCCATTGTTAGTCAGTGGTGCTGGTGTCAATAAATAAAATAGACAAACTTATCTAATCACAAAGCCTCAAAGTGACATGGTGTCTCCTCTCCTTCTTTGATTGGCGTTTAAACCACCGGGAGGCCCTGAAAACGCTCTCAGCTGTCACAGAGCTCAGTGAACGGCCAAGAACGCTGTTTTTTCTGTCGTTCGTAAACGTTGCGCAGCCTCAAGTGGAGTTCAATGACCGAAAAAAATCAGTTGTTTTTATTCGTCGCTCATAAGGACGTTTTCTGTCTGGGTTTTCGTTGAGTTTTACAGTGACCTGATTTAAAAACGCCGCCTTAAATATTCAACCTTCAGCCACTTTATGTGAAATTTAAGACATTTTAACGCTTTAATTTCCCCATTATATTTTCAGGCTGTTGTCTATTAGTAAAAAATTTAATCAATCTGGGACCAAAAATATTCAACATAAACTGAAAGTCAAACTTAATGTCATTTAAAAATGAGACAAAAATCAGTGTGAAGTTTTAAAAATAAATAAATCTGATTTTCATGTCAGATCTCAGCTTGTGTCGTCTGTCTGTTAGTTTGTGTTTCTTATTTTTGGTCTAATTCTCACTAAACTCTTGTGCTATTAGGCCCCCTGAATGTCTGCTTAATTTCACAATGTTTGATGCATTTAGTTAAATATATTTAGTTATTAATGAGGATGTTTGCTGGTTTATAAAATCATCTCAGAAAACAGTGAATTTCCTCATAAATAACTTAAATATAAGTGACTTGATCTTCATGATCTTCAGCACATTAAAGTGTTACGAGTGTTACTCTCACATGAATGTTCATTAAGATGATTCATAAAGAGGGCATGTTCACTGAGCTGTCTCTACTTTCACTTTTTTCCATTTTTATATTAAATATAACATCAGTTTGTGTTTAATGGAATCTGAAAATATTATCTGAGGCAAATGTAAAAACTGTGACGTCGCAGCACATTTACCATCTGCTCTGGATGATAAATTATGTGTCTGACATCTTTCCTTTTTTATAATTTATTACAACATGTGATTATTTGTGAGGGACGTCTGAACTGAGACACGGAGCGACTTCCTGTGAGCTGCAGGAACAGACAAACACACTAAGATGGATCCTGAGCAGCAAACTCAGATCCTGATCCTGGTTTAAGTTTCCATCCTCTGAAACTCTGCAGCCTCCTATCGTTCTAACAGAATCGTCTAACTGGGAGAAACTACACAGCAGACTGTCCTGAGGTCTTTCTAGAAGCTTCCACTGAAGGAGAGTTTCAGTCCAGGATTGTTTTTATTAAAAGTCAAATATTAGTTCACAATAATTGTAAAACAAATAAATCTCTGATTATTTAGATCTTGCAGGAGATTATTTTCTGATTAATCGGTTCATTGAGAAATTGTAGAAAAAACAACCGTCAAAGTTTCAGAGACAAAAATCCTAAATATAAACAGAAAACTTCAAATATAATTAATTTTTACTTTATTATTTTAATATTTTGATCAACTGATCAGTTAACTGAAAAATGATATCAGTTCATACAAACATGATCATTAAAGCTGTTTGAATTAAATTAAAGTTTCACAGACTGTAGTTCTACATTTATTATGAATTATTATGTTAATAATTTTAATCTGTAATCTGAATGAAACATTTAATGTGTGCAAACCTGTTTACTACTGTAAACAAAACACACTGAAAACATTAACAGCAAATATCAGTAAAAATGAAACATGAACAAACCTCCAGTTTGGTTGAAGCGCTGCTTTGCAATCTCAATGTTGGCTTTGTACACCTGCTGGGTGCCCACAGCGATCCCAGCGTTTCTCTCCCAGAACTGTGGATCTACTGCACCGTTCACCCAGTCCTGTTTGGGCACCATTTTCTCCGTGTCGCTGTCATAATATTCAATGTGAACATCATCAACCATCCCAACAATCACAAACTCTGGGAAGTTTGGGACTTGAGAGGACGCAGTGTAGAAATACTTCAGCGAGTGGGTCACTGTGAGAAACAGTTAATGTTGTGAGATCTCAGGAACACAGACTTATAAATTATTTTAGTTTTTAAATAACACAATAAGAAAAACTGCAGCACGTTAAAGACATCCTGTAATAATCCTGCTGTCCCTTCAATAAACACAAAATAGATTTATGAATAGATATTCAGTGTTTAATGTCATTTTCTGATCATCTTTTCTTCAAAACTGTAATTTTGTGTTTTGCAACAGATTCTAGTTTGAACCTGATTTTCACAGAAAGCTTTAAAGTTTTAAAACTGGTGTTTTTATCCTTCAGCTTAGTTTAATTCAGTTTTCATGATTAATGGTTTGAACTCATTATAACTTTAATTTGACTATATTTTTATTTTCAGTGTTAAAGAAAGCGCACATTATTTTTAATCTGTTTCTCTTTTGTTAGCCGCTGTATGAACCGTAAGGTTTCTTCTTTCCTTTTTCTGAATCAAGCAGCAGGACTTCTAAAGTGAGTTGTTTTCTTTTTTGTTTCAGTTTTTTATATTATAAATTATATGAATTGATTTCATTATTTTTAAAAAAAAACAATTCTCTAATGGGTTTTCTAAACATTAATACCCATGCTTCTTCTTTGTTTATATTATTTTCATAGAGTTTTGTCAATTAATGCACATTCAAAATTGTTACAGAAACTTTCCAATATGTTTGATCAATAATATTATCAATAAAAAACGAATGTTAAGTAAATATTGTTGGGGAAATATTATCTTAAGCATTTTTGATTTTATCTTTCACTCTATAATCAGGTTTGCAGGAGAGTTTTCAGTTATCAAAAATACATAGATTTGTTTGTTTGTGTTACTGACCAACGCACATAGTAGTTTAAAACGCTTCTCATTAGCGCCCCCTGGTGGAGGAGCGAGTGTGTTGCAAAACCTTTCAGGGATTTCTCACCTGCAGCTTCTTATTGATCATTCAGCAGTGATACCAACATTACCTCTTGCTGGTAACTCCACGATATTATAAAGCAATAAAGACTTGATTTAGTTAATCTGAATTCTATTTCATTTTATTTATATGACGCCAAATCACAACAAAAGTCAAATCATTGAGCTGTTACTGAATCAATAACATCAGAAAAACAGTGAACTTACATCCGGGCGTAATTCGTTACATCATGTGTGCATGTTCTTCAAACAGAAAGTATTCACATCCATAACGTTGGGAAATAATACTGAATACAGTCTAAAGCAGCAGTCTTTTACCTTTTAATGAATTACATCAAATGACATGTGGCTCTACATACACAGCGTATACTGAACAAATTATTAAATGATTAAACTCTTAAATTTTAACAGATACTTTGTGTTAAATACACTTTAGTGAACTTTAATAATCAGCTGTTGTGTGAAAATATTTTTGATTCCTCATGAAAATTAAAATGGTTCTCCGTTTTTAAAGAACAGTGTTGACTATCGTCACCAGATTATCAACGAGCCTCCTCACTCATCTTTTATTCGTTGGACTGTTTGGAAACACAGCAGAGTCTCAACCTTTAAAAACGCGTCATGAACGATTTAAAGACGGAAATCATCAAATAGTTTTGGACAGAAATCGCCTTGTTTTAATCTTTGCCTTATTTATTTACTTTTATTAGCTAAACGTAACTTTTAATCTAAACTTTAATGTTCATTATTCGGGATGTATAAAATGATCGATTGTTTCTTAACATTGAAATTATCTACAAGGATCTATCATAACTAAATGTTTAGCGTACAGGAAGTCTCTGGGGAACAAACAATCTGTCCATATGTATTTCAAATTACATAAATTTGACATATAAAAAACATAAAAGTCAAACTGACCTGCCGCTGCTCCCTGTATCCCCAGGAGAAGAAGGAAGATGAAAGCCTTCATTGTGACCATAAACATCCAAACCTTCAACAGACTTTGTGTGTTCGCTTGTCTAGAAAAAGCGCCTCTGTGCTTCCAGCTCAAGTATCAAAGCTAAAATAGGAGAAAACGAGGAGAACCAGGAGGTACGTCCCCACTGGGCTCCATCTGAGCCAATAAGAATTTACTCTGAGAGTAAACGTCACTTAAATCTGGGTTAAACGCAGCCTTTAGGGTTATCAGCGAAACTGAAAGTAAAATATCTTCATATGAACCATGAATGATAAAGAGAAGGGTTAAAGTTAGTTTCATCTGGTCTTTATTATTTTTGATGTTATGACAGGCGTAGTTTGTGTTATGCTGGGTAGACATTGTATAATTTATTATTATTATTATCATTTTTATTGTTGTTGTTGTTGTTATTATAAATCTGGGTTCACTGTTTAGCTATTTGGTACAGATTGCCCCTGGAGTCTGTGAGGTTACAGCGTCTTTAAAGGTGAGGAATGACTGATGTAGAGTACATATCAAATATGATTTCACCAAGTTGTGGTGTGGGGCTCCCTCCAGTGGATAAAACAGTATAAGTCAGCTTGTCTTCTTTTTTTTAACTTTTTTAAAACTTTTTTTTTAACATTTTCAGTTTTAAAGTGGTGGGACCCATATATTTATATTTTGGGGTATAAATAAAACTGTAAACCATGACAGCCCTAAAAAATTAAGGATCACTAGTCTTTCTGGAGTTTGCATGTTCTCTCTGTGTTTGTGTGGCTTCTCTTCAGGCTTCCTCCCACAGTCTAAAGACATGCTGTGGGGTTAGGCTAATTGGAAACTTCAAACTGCCCATAGAATGTGAGTAAAAGTGAGTGCAAATGGTTCCCTCTGTCCAGGGTGTACCCTGCCTCTTGCCCTATGACAGCTGGGATCAGTGGCGTGTCCAGCGGGGTGGCCTGGGGGGGGGGCACAGGCCACCCCCCCCAACCAGACTGGCCACCCCAGGTGCCACCCC